AGTCGCTCCAGTTCATCCAATTAATGGTCAAAATGTTCACTTCGTGTCAATAATGAAGTTTATTTACAAATTAACATCCCACATTATGGAATATTTCTAGGGTGATTTCACTGCAAACACCTCTTATTCTTTCCATTAGTTCTGAAATGGACTGCGATATTGCAAAGTATACTTTACATTTCACGAATTTTCACAAAAAATCTGAGGGTGTCATATCAGGTTTGTCAGCGGACCATTCTAATGGACAGCATCTACCTACCAACCAAAGGTTGGAACTACAAAAAACCAAAGATTCCTCTCCTATTTATGTCCGATAATTTACACAAAAATTCTAAATCTCAATGGTCGTTTCCTATTCAAAATGAAGTTGAAGATATGGATTTTAAACCAGCCCCCCGCATAAATTCTCTATATTGAAATTATACTCAACATTCGTTTGCAGGTTCCAAAATGAAAATAAAATAGCTAATTACTAGGAACTGTTAAAAATTGAAAGATCAAATGAGGCATCACAACACCTCAATTCATATTTAAAAAAATACTAAAAATGAAATAAACTTTGTATGTAAGTTTTATCTGAGTTCTGTTCAAAAGTTAGGAAAAAGGGGGATTTTTCGTTAGCACTGCATCATAATTGAATTCTTGAATTGATGTAACCATATATTTTAAAAACTGCTTCAAAATCAAAATAATCTGATGTTTTTCTTAATTTTCACAAGGTTGTCATGAAAAATATGAAATTCGGATATTCGACAAAAATCACAATAAGTTATTTGTTGATGTGTAAATAAACATTTTTAAAATGGCTCAACTTGATTATACGAATGAGGATTGTTAAAACTAGGTTACCTATTATTCATGATGACGCAACCGTGTTTTAGCTCGAACGTGTCGAATTTTTGCTGAATGTTATAAGCATCAATTAATCATCAAAAACATGAACAATTAGATCCAATGTAAATATTTTGACTTTTTCCTAGATGCACACACATAGAGAGAGATAGAAAAATAATTAAAACCGGATAATTTTCGAGAATCTGTTAATGTCCTTCCTACACATCTTCCAAAGGGTTGTCATTATTTTCAATTATCCTTTCTTTCTTTGGTAGCCTTCCTATCTTTATGAATCAATGAGTCATAACAATATTAGTTTGTGCCAAGGGCTATGAACATTTTACTAACGACTTACTTATGACTAACCATAAAACCATACATTTCAAGGTCATGACCGAATAGAAAAGGGGGTTCTGTCGTTTACCTAAAATTCGAAGAGACTAATTTTCTATTTTTAATGTAGATACATTTTTATTGCATGAATTGATTTATTTGAAATATCTATGATAATTAGCTGATGTCACTGGTTTAGGTAATGTTAAAATGAGGGGCCATTCTAACATCTGCCAGTTTAATAGCATAATAAACAGGTCGTAAATGACCTGAACAAACTCATTGACAATTTCTGGACAAGTTATTGACGATGACGGTTGCACCCAGACAGACAAAGAATCAAATATAACGTATTTGCTGAAATACTATTTTTACTTCTTCTTCTAAACGAAGGGCCCTGAAGGCCATTAAATGTACATTTTCACTATTTGTGTAAATTTTAGTAAACTCAACTGAACCATTCATAAATTATAGAAAAAAACAACTTCAATACCTCGTCAAACATTTCCCCAGTTCCAGAAATCACTGTGATTTCACAGAAAAAGTAATTTATAATCTTTTCTATCGTGGGTTGAGAAAATATTTCAAGGAAATCGGAGAAAAAAACTAGTTCCAATCTCCGAGAATAACTTTTGATTGAATTCGATTCCCGTATAGGCTGAAAAATTTAAAATTGAAAAAATGTAATAACTTTTTGGGTTTTGAAAAGTTTTCACAAACTAAAAAAAATGAATTCAGATCGATAGATATTCTACATAAGCACTAGTGGATAACTTTCGTATATATGAATTTTTGCCTATCAATTAGGATGAAATTAATGAAAAAAATAGTAGTTATACTTACTTTTTCTTGAAACTGGTATATGAAATATATTATTGTTTCGGAAAGCTATCGCCAAAACTAGTTTTTGTATTTAAAATTGCCCATATTAAAAACACCAAAGAAAACACAGAAAAGCTAGTCTTGAAAACGGTAAGTTTTTTCAGAGTAAACAGAGTATAAATATTTCTGCCTTAATTTCACATCATTATACAAAACTTGGCCTTTTTTCTTCGGAAGTTTTTACATATGACTTTTCTGGTTATTTTTTCAATTTCTTCTTTGATATACACTTCCTCAGATTCCTATGGATTTGAATTTGTTTTTTAAATTATGGAAGGCCAAAAACCCAGAAAAGTCTACTGTTCCACATTACAAAAAATATGTCATGTGATATTTCGTTAAAAAGGTTTTTCAATAATATATGCAACCTACACTAGTTCTCCAGTTTTGTGTACTAGTTAATTCGAAACTGAAACTTGTTTATTAGTACATTAGGTGTAGGAGGTCTGTTAAAAAAATATGGTAAATGTTCAGATTTCGCGGACTAGGTACATTCGTTAAGCGATTTTTTATTATTTTATGTTGGTTCTCTTGTCTCGAACATATCATGTTCACAGTTCCAGCTATTTTCTGCTATTGAAAGAAATGGATCAAAGGATTTGCATCAAATGTTGTGTTCTGAACGCCCCAGCACATCAACAACCGATGAGAATGTTGAGAAAATGAAGAAAATTATTATGGAAAATTGCTGAATTTTGAACAAAAAATCGTTGCATAAAGGGCCCAGAAGAACCAAAACCAAAAAAAGCACGCCGAGTTCGATCAAATGTTAAGGTTTTGCTCACTGTTTTCCTCGATTACCGTAGCGTAGTGCATCAAGAGTTCTTGCCACATGGATGTAGGTACGGTCAATAAGGAGTAGGTATTATTTTGAAGTTATGCGCTGATTGCGAGAAGCAATACGAAAAAAATGTTCAGTATTGTGGAAAAACAAGTCATGGCTTTTGGATCACAATACAAGTAATACACCTGCTCACTCGTTATTGCTTGTTCGTAAATTATGGTTAAAAACAACACCGTAATCATGACTCAGCCACCGTATTCACCAGATTTGACCCTCTGTTCCCAAGATTGATGAGACCCATGAAAAGGCGGCGTTCTGCGACGAATCGCCCGAGAGAGCTCGAGTACATACCAAAAAGTGCATATGAGAACTGCTTAGGATGGACAAAAACTCTGGTAGAAGTGTATTACCTATATCTGAGGGGGACTACTTTGAAGGGGACAAAATAGAAATTGATGAATAAATATTTTTTTTGGGAAAAGTGAAAATTCACCTTATTTTTTTAACAAATGAAATTACTGCCGAGCTGATTACTCTATTCTTAACCGTTTGCATTTTTTGGGAATTCCGTCAGTGATTTTTATAAAAACTGAATACTAGGTGTATCCAAGAATTCACAAAGTATTTTGCATGTCCTGAAAAACACCTCAAAGCATCTCCGCCATTATTTCCAAAGATGCATATGGATGAAATTTACCAAACCATTTTATCTTAATTTGCGTATAAAAATATTATTTCTGTATTCCCACAGAAAAATATCAATATTAAAATAAAAAATTCAAATCCAATAAATATGTTACTGTGGTTTAAATGAAACAATTTAATACCATGGAAAATCTATAAGGTATTTAAATAACGTTTAATAGTGTTTACAAAACCGCAACACACTGAAACACATGTGGCGATTTTGTAAACTGGCAGGTGAAAATTTCACAATAATAAAGTGTTAATTGAACGACCAAATTGGTGGGAAAGCATTTTATAAATTTTGAAAATTAAACAGGCAAAAAAAATGTTCTCTGTAGTAGAAAAAGTGTAAAAGAAAACATTTTACAACATTTTAATAAATAAAAATTGTCTTAGCACATACTTATAAGGTAGTGAATAAAACAAAAACAAATTCAATAAAATTTCAAACTTGAGTCGTTTAGAAGATTCAAATACTTACTTATATAAATTGAAATGTACCGGTTTTCCTTAGATAATTTCAAAATTACTGAAGATATCGAGATAAATTTCAAATATTTTCTGTAGAGCTCAAAGATCGCTACTACTGAAAATTTTCAATTTTTACATTGCGGATTTATTGAGGAAAATATGGATTTTTTCAAAAAATGTATGAAACTTTTCTATTCCATCAAAGTAGGGTGCAAAATGTTTACGTTTTTAAAAATTCTCGAAAAAATTTAGTCATTCTTATTTTCCAATTTCCATAGATTTTTTAAAAACAAGTCACCCTATATATAGGAATTATGTTTATACGATATTTTGAGTTGTAGAGTACACAAAAAATACTACTATCAGATCGAAGTGTAATAATTTTGAAGTTTTTTTGTAGAAAAAATTAAGTTGATTCCCAAGAGTTCCTGGCTAATAGAAGAAAAAAAAAGCCGAAAGTGGACGGAAAAAATGCATTGAGGGAGGTCATCTCCGCACTGTACACTTTTCAAAATAACTAAAATTATGGGTAGGACTCATATAAAAACTAAGTATGATCAAAGATTTCATTTGGGGGTAGGGGAAGATGGACTGGACTGAACAACTTTTTCAAAAAAAAAATGTCCTGTTTCTATTTCAGTGAATTTGTGCATGTGTAAATGTATATGAAAAGTTATATTGTTTAATGAAAAAGTATATATTTTTTTAAAATAGACGTATACGAATTATGACAAGTAGGTATCTAGTACCTACGTAGAACATCCCTTCTTGATTTTCCCAAGCAATATCGAGTGATTCACGTAAAACCAAAAATCTTCTGCATCACTCATTTCAAGCATTCAAAATAAAGACAGTCAAAAAAAACAGTTTCTTTCTTATAAAAAAGCAGCCCACTTGATATCCATTGAAATCGAACGACCTAACCCCACCCAAATTCCGATATATTTTCAAATGGGAAGAATACAGGGATTATTGAAAAAAATTTTAATGAAAAATAATTATTTCTTACCTTTGATTGAGTGAGAAGATGAAAATTAGAAATAGAACTTTGATATAAAAAATAACTGTACAATTATTTTACCGGTTATCACAGACAATTCCCACGAACCAACTCCAATGCCGTTCGACGCAGAAATAAGAATGAACAAGAAACTTTGAAAGCGCTGATAGCGACAAGAGCCGCATACCAGCTGGTGTACCGGAAGCGACGTTGTCACTTCGGTTGGAAAATTCTATTTTCTACGAAAATATATTGAACAGAACTACGTAACAATTTTATCCAGTTAGTTTTCTTACTGGCTCACTATTTTTGTTTCATAAAAGAAGTGGATACTTGTTAGAACAGTTACGAATACTAATAGGCAAGTAATAATACTTCATGATTGATAGTTTATTGTCACCAGGGAAATATCACGAAATAGGTGTTCGCGTTAATAAGTATGTTAGAATCAGAAAATATGTCAGACATAGTTTGCTAACGAATGAGACACCATATTTCTTCAAAACATATCTACTCAAAGGCTCAAAAACTCTTAATGTTTCATGGACATTAGGTATGAACAATAGAGCCTCGTACCTTCTCGAATCATATACAAATTCTTATACCAACTGGGAGTTATTTACCTAGTTGAATCAAGCACAACCAAATACGGAACAAGATTGTGTTGCAAACATGTATTTTTATCTGTGTTGATCAGAAATACAAATACAATTTATAAGAAATAATGGTAAGTACATATTGGTTTTTTAAAAGTGTCACAAAAGCGGCAACACCGTACGAGTTTTCTACGTATGCCAGACAGACGGCACACAGAATTTGAAATGTGGTTCTTATTGATTTCAGCTGAAAAGGCTTGTTCGGAATCTCGGTATTGTGAAAAGTTGTCATATTCTGGTACCTAGATGTTATGTACATATTTCGTTGTGGGGAAATTTGATTTGGATCGGGGATGTGACTCATCCGAAGAGATTACTAAATTAGCAATGGAATCAAAAACAACGCCCTTATTTCTAAGTTTCACAGTAATGCGTATTGCTCATTGCTTGCACTCTCAAGCATTGAACAGAGGGTTGAGAGAATTATTTCGAGGGTTTTGCAAGAGGAAATGAAATATCTAAAATGAGGTTGTAGTCAATACTTAGTTTGAAGAAATAATTCCCGTAATTCTTCAATTACCATGAAGATGACTCAAAAGAAATCATTCAAAGAAGATGACCAATCAGTATTTTGGTACCCAATAATTGGGCAATGAAACTAAGGATTATCCATAATTATGGTTACAAAAAAAAAAGTGCGTTGGTGAATTATATATGTATACCTAGTTTTCGAATAAAATGTGTCACATATACGTGTAAGAAACGGTATTCAGTTTTTCCCTTGAAGAAATGTCAATAACAGACAATGATCTAGAATGAAAATTGTATATTATCACCTATTGTCTGTTGGCGAGAGAAAAAAAAGATATGTCTGGAGTAGATCTAAGAATAACCCCAGGGTGTATCCTGCTTATTGCCTGTCTCAAGAAGCAAGTAAAAGGGTAACAGATTATTTTGGTACATGGGCGAGACTGCTGGTAACAGTTTCATATCTTGTTTCTTATCAATTAAAGTGAGTATTTTTTTCTGAATTGTCATCAATTCAACCTCAAACACTCAAGGACATGAACTTCTATACTAATCGAATCACCTTATTTTTTCATCGGAAATCCTCAGAAGCCGCTTCGATTTCGATGTTTTTTGTTTAATAAAATAAGTTTTGCGTGGCTTTTTTTCAAAGAAGCGTTTCGTATGATTATTAGTACAACAGTGCATCAGATATAATAATAATAAATAAGCATGGATGACCATGACCACTAACACCTGAGGCCTTTGGTGAGCAACTGGTTTAAAACCGGACCGGCAGCCCAGGCGCACTCGGGAAGGAGAACACTAATCTCCATCCGGTGCCGGCGTGGATCTACAGGGCTAACCAGCCGGTAGATCCAAAACTTGGTCCCTGGTAATCGAGGTAGGGGTCCCCACAATCGACCCGCTCACGGGGTGGTCAGAGGCAAGGTGGTGGGGCCCTAATGATGATTTGCCTACCGATGACAACCCTTGCAATGACAATGGACGCTTTGAGTGGTCGCATAAGCTGAAGGATAGCCTTATGCATTGGTACGAGAGGGTACATGGCGAGAATGCATGCTCCGTGGTGTGAAACATACCCAGCCGTTGGCTGGGAAAGCCGTTGGCCCGGCTGGAGAGGAGTCTCGCATGATGTCACCAATGGATACAATCAGAACAAGCAGGGCGCTCCACAGAATTAGACCCCTGAAGCCACAAGAACTGGCGTGTCTGGACGCGGAGGTTCATAGTGTTCTAACAGAAGAGGCTGACATCTGGCAAATTGATACCGCCGTGTAATGAGACGAGCAAGAAGTATCGCGGAAAACCTTAGGAAACTTCGCTTATTCCAAGAGCCTACACAGGTTGTGGATAATCTGCCAACCGCTGATCAGGTGGAATCCTTCTGAAAGGACATCTATGAACACCCGCAGTCACTCAACTTAGACACTCCAGCCCTAGCGTAATTCGAAGCTTTCAGCAGAGCTTCGACTGCCTGAGCTCAATGAACTGCGCAACCTGATAACCCCAGATGACGTTCGAAGAGCCCTTGTGGGTTCTAAGAGCTTTGTTGCTCCAGGCCCAGATGCGCTGACCACTTATTGGTGAAAAAAACTAACAAGCACACACCACCAAGTGGCCGGAGTTTTCAACTCATGGTTGGACGGAGAGCAGCCGATTCCGAATTGGTTTGTCGAGGGGCTGACCGTTCTCATCCTCAAAAGCGAAGATTTGTCGATTCCTAAGAATTACAGACCGATAACATGCTTAAATTCGTGTTACAAGTTGTTTACAAGCATCTTATACACACGAATACTCACCGCAGTTGACCGAGCAGACAGGGTCGAAGAGAGGAGTCGCTGGATGTAAAGAGAACATCGAAAGATGTATAATGCAGGACTCGATACAGTATAAGCGTAACCTTTCTATGGCCTGGATCGATTACCGCAGGGCATTTGGTACAACATCGCATGAACTCATCTTGCATTTGCTCAGATGCCTTGCGGTGCCCGACAAAAAAGTGAGAAGCCTTGAACAAGTGATACCACTCTGGCGGACTCGTTTCACCATAACATCTGGTCAAGCCAGAGTCCAAACAGGGTGGGTCACTTTCAGAAGGGGTGTATTTTAGGCCGATTCCCTCAGTCCCATCATCTTCTGCATCTCACTATTTCCATTATTCGTTGCGGTCAGAAATACTCGAGGATGTAACTGTGGCACCCTCGGAAACCGGAGGCACAAGATCACCCATTTGTTTTAAATAGGTATTTTTAACTTTATGCCTCGGGAGAGAAGGATCTCCATCAGTCCTTGAGGGTGGTGGAAGAGTACACGCATGCTATTGGTATGAAATTCGGGATAGGCATATGTGCAATGATCCATCTCAAAAGAGAGGTAACTCACAAGAGGTAACAGCAGTGAAAAACTCTCTCCGCGGAAAATATCAGCACAAACTCTCCGACAGATCTGGTCATCGGAACTATGAGGGAAGAACAAAGTTGCTGCAACAAATATGCTTGCCGTTCCAATCTTACTCTACTCGTTTAGAGAAGCGGAATGGCCTCGGGAGGAGCTGTATCAACTCGATGTAAAGACCCGAAAAATGATGCATCTCCATAGGAGTCTGCATCCCAAATCGTCCGTTCCACGGTTGTATTTCCCCCGACAGCAGGGAGACCGTGGACTTTTGAGTTTGGAGTGTGTACATGACATAATGGTACTGGACGGAGCATGTAAAGTCGTCAGGAGATCGGATACCCTTCTCTGCATGGCCCACGACCATGAGAGAGCAGGAGTTGGAGCATTTTTCTTCAGGGTAGCTGCCCGAGCAACTGATGAACTCGGTTTAGTTTTCGACACTGAACGAGATGATCACAACTCTGTCACCGAGTTGGAACCCGGCAACACAAAGAGAAGCCAATGGATGGTGTCTTCTTCAATAACATTGAAGACCTTAGCTCATCGAAGCGCCTGACTTTCGCTTTCCTCAGGTTGACTGGGCTGAAAGTCGAAAACTGGGGAGTTAATCATGGGCTGCCAGGATGGTGTCATCAAAACCTTAGTCTACCGCAGTCGCGTGATGGGTATAGAGGTCCCTGACACAGGATGCAGGGCTTGCCACGAGGCGTCCAAGACCCTAATGCACTTGCTGTCAGCATGTCCAGCATATGCGGTCTCGGCCTATATCCATTGACATAACGCAGCCCTAAGAGTGCTTTATTACCATCTACGGCACTCTTACGGCTTTGACGAGACACCGGTATTGCTCTACGCTCCGAGGGATATTGAATCCGTTGTGGGGAACGAGAAGCGCCGAATTTATTGGAACTACTCGTTCCTCACCCTCAGGCTCCGTACCGTCTGAAAAGAGGATCACTCTGTCAAGATGGTTGTTCTGATTATTGGAGTCCTTGGTGGAATGATGCCCTTTCTACTCTCAAATCTCAAAATCATACCGGCTAGCCACACTTAGACAGAAATATTAGCCGGACAGATGTAGAAGGCTGTCATTCTTGACTCACTTCGCTTGCTCAGGGCAAATGATTCTAGGACCCAATGATCACTTATCTCACGGTGTGGTAGCTGCCCGAGCAACTGATGAACTCGGTTTAGTTTTCGACACTGAACGAGATGATCACAACTCTGTCACCGAGTTGGAACCCGGCAACACAAAGATAAGCCAATGGATGGTGTCTTCTTCAATAACATTGAAGACCTTAGCTCATCGAAGCGCCTGACCAGGTCGACTGGGCTGAAAGTCGAAAACTGGGGAGTTAATCATGGCCTGCCAGGATGGTGTCTTCAAAACCTTAGTCTACCGCAGTCGCGCGATAGGTATAGAGGTTCCTGACACAGGATGTAGGACTTGCCACGAGGCGTCTAAGACCCTAATGCACTTGCTGTCAGCATGTCCAGCATATGCGGTCTCGGCCTATATCCATTGACATAACGCAGCCCTAAGAGTGCTTTATTACCATCTACCGCACTCTTACGGTTTTGATGAGACACCGGTATTGCTCTACGCTGGGGGGGATATTGAATCCGT